TTTCTATTTATTTGGATATTAACGTATTTTATATTTATGTTTTTTACTTAATGTTAAATTTATTTACATTATCTCATATATTTAATAGCGTTAAAAACCGATTAATCCGACCGAACCACACCGATTCGATTTAAATTAGATTGGTTTGGTTATCATATAATAGTGAATTGAATTGGTTTAAAAATTTTACTAACCGATTAAATTGGATTGGATTAAAAAATGTTAAAATCCGAACCAAACCACCCCGCGAACACCCCTAATATTCATACATAACATTCATTCATTCCATGCAATTTTTTTTTTGGTTAAATATTAACTTTGTCCCTCAACTTTAATGTTTGTATAATTTTCATCTCTTATCTTTTTTATATACTTTTTTAATCCCTTGATTGTGAAAAATGCACTTTTTCAATCTTCCATTAGTTAGTTTGTTAAATTTGTTTAAATATGTACATTTTTAGGCTTCAACTTAAAGTTGAGAGATTAAAAATATGTATATATTAGAAGTTGAGGAATTAAAAATGTACAAATTTAGATAGATTTAACGAATAAACTAATAAAATGACTAAAAAATATATTTTTCATAAATTAAGGGACCAAAAAAGTGCATAAAAAAATTAAGAGATAAAAATTATGCAATATCTTAAAATTAAGAGATCAAAATTGACATTTAACCTTTTTCACTTTCTAGTCAATACAAACTGAAACCATACACTTGTGCATTGTCATTTTCTATTCCATATATCATAAAAAGAAAAAAATTTCATAATTATTTTACATGTCATACATCCATTCCATTCATTTCACATTAAATCTTCCATTTATCATAAACATTTCATATTTCATATATTCATTACATTGCATTTTCCATCTCATGCATCACAACATATGTTTTCATGTTCATTCCCCATGACATTCTCCATTCTATTCGTTTTACATTTCATTTTTCATATCATATTTCACAATTTAAACCCCCAATTTGATTTCTCAACTACTGTACGGACCCCCAATTTGGTCCATAAACTAAAAAAATCTTCAATTTGATCCTTCAACTATTGTACAAACCCTTAATTTGGTCCTTACTGTTTATTAATTTAGCCATAAGTTGATCATTTTGTTAAAAAATAGCTGGCATGTCCATTACTTAACGATAAAAAATCGTTACTTAACTGCCATGTGTCACCTTAATAATGAGACATGCCATTTGTTTTCGTACGGAAGGATCAATTTGGGGCTAAATTGGTAAATAATAGGGACCAAATTAGGGATTTTTTTAGTTCAGGAACCAAATTGAGGGTTCATACAATAATTGAAGGACCAAATTAAGAATTTAACCTATTTCACAAAATTTTCCAAAGAAATGAAATTCCACCCATGTTCATTACATTATATCTTCCACATCTTCCATCTTATATAAAAAAATTGCATAAAAATAAAAAAAAAAATCTCATTCATATTCACTTCACATTGCATTTTCCATCTCATGTTTATTCCAAGCATTACTATTTCCATCTCATACTTCAAAAAAAAAAAAGGAAAAAGGAAAAATTCCATAGAAACAAAAAAAAACTTCATCCATTTATTTTACACTACATTTTTTTTATCTCATATTTCATTTCAAGTATTACCATTTCTATCTCATAATACAAAAACAAATGCATAAAAATGAAAATTTCTTCAATTTTCATTTCACATTACATTTTCCATTTCATATTTCATTTCAAGTATTACTATCTCCATCCTATATTTCTCATATATCCCATATTTTATAAAAATTGCATAAAAAATGAAAATTTCATCCATGTTCAGTTCACATTACATTTTCCATCCAATTTTTAAGTGCAACACATATTCAACCTTACATCACATCTTCTATCTCATGTCAAATTGACATTCATCCCATGCTCATTTCACACTTAGAATAAAGTTAAATTTGGTTCTCATATATGCTTGTTTTTCACTTAAGTCCTTCAAGTCATGATTCTCTACAAAAATTGCCCAAGCTTTCATTCAAAGAAATTCTCACCATCTTACATTTTCTACAAGAAATTTACAAATGCATGTTTCAAAATTTTTGGCCTTATCCAATTAAATCCGAAACATTTCACATTTTTGTAAAAAAAAAAAAAGTTCAGTGATAAACTTACGAAAATCCACATTTTAGATATCAAAATAATTTGAGTATATAACTTTAGAGCATCATATTATTCATTTTCTCCAAGCATTACACCATTTTTTTTTCAAACTTCATGGCATTTGCTCTTTTCACTAAAATGGGCTAAATTAAACTTCATTAAAATACGTAGACCAAATATACCTTGTACTACAAAATTTTCATCATCCTTACATGTTCATTAGTTCACACAAAATAAAATAAATAATAATAATACTAGATTCAAATTGTTCTCTTTTCAAGCATAAAATATTTTATCAAGTTCAATTCTCTCTTTACTTTAATTTGCCATTTTTTAGGTTGTCTTCAAAATTGCTCCAAAGAAGAAGGTTGCGTTGCCCACTTGCAGTCCTATAATTACTCGATCAGTATCATGAGCAATGGCTACTCATCTTGATAGTCCTGGAGGTGAACAAGGAGAAAAGTCTGTCATGGAACAAAAAATTGAAAGCTTGGAAGCTTTAGTCATGCAACTTTGATTTTTATAACAAAAAATTAAAATATTTTATAACATTAGCTAAGATCTAGTACATCCCCATCTCCCATGCTCTTTACACATTTGATTTTTATAACATTAGCTTAAATCTAGTCCATCCTTCTCTCGTCAACGCTCTTTGCACTTTTTTTTTTCTCAATCTGTGGCGTAATTTACTCCTTATTGATTTCAAGACTAAAGATTAAATTTTAAAGCATTCTTATCTAGAAGGAAAAGTCTTTATTGAGTGCATTATCATCAGAATTTAACAACCCCAAAAGATAAGCTTATCTTTGCATGACTAATTAAATTAGTTATTTGCTGAAAAAAAGTTGTATGCTTATTTGCTGCTAATTGATATAAATTACTACATAGGATAACTACTGTTGGCAAAGGGATAGTGTAGAAGCAATTATTTATACTACAAAAACTGATTGTCAAATAAAGCTGTTGATATTTGGAAGACATTTGCCATTTACGATATATTAAGCAATAGCCTGGTATAATTAAAGTAGTCAATTTAAACATGAGCTTCTTGCATACCATTTTGAAGCTAATTCAATAAAGAGACCATTTCAAAGAATTGTATAAAACCAAGAGGTATATAACAATTACATTTGCAATGCTAGCATGTGCCATAATACAGCTCATCCTCTTCTTGTCACAATAGAACACCATTCACAGCATCAAAAAGCTATATTCTGATATACATACTAAGCAAATTAAGCACACAATATAATTATAAAGGAGTAATTAATAATAATTATTACTCACTTAAAATACATTAACCAAAATACGCTATGAAGGTTTGATCATCCGCTACCAAAAGATCCAAACCCAACCCTAGTCAAGCCCCCTTCCTCACATGAGAAGAAACAGGTCTTTCCAAGAACAACAACCAAAGCTTAGCCTATATTTCATCTTCAACTAATGCTTGAAGATGGTACTTGTACAAATAGCATATTACAAAGGCTAAAACCAACTTTTAGCCCCTCACCTTACAAAATTGGTAGGTTTTAACTCCTAACCTTATAATATAATACTTTTAACCTTTTACCTTACAAAGTCGGTAGGTTTTAACCCTTCATCTTACAAAGTTGGTAGGTTTTAACTCCTCACCTTATTCTATGATACTTTTAATCTCTTATCTATACAAATTGAAGAAAATAGCCCTTACTTAACATTATGTTATAATGTTCTGTTAGTTCTATTAGTTGATTTTAAATTTAGCTAATTGACTGTAAATTCTGTTAACTAACTGTTAGTTCTGTTAACTGATTGTTAGTTCTATTAATTGACTGTAACATCCGTTAGCATTCTGTTAATGGAACTAACAAATAAAATTGAATTTAAATTTAATGTTTTCTATAATGGAATGCTAATGAATGTTAATAGTCAATTAACAGAACTAATATAACATTATAACTTGATGTTAAGTTAGGGTTATTTTTTTCAATTTATACAGGTAAGAGGTTAAAAATGTCATAATATAAGGTGAGGAGTTAAAACCTACCAACTTTGTAAGGTGAGGGGTTAAAACCTACTGACTTTGTAAGGTAAAAAGTTAAAAGTGTTATATTATAAGTTGAGAGGTTAAAACCTACCAATTTTGTAAAGTAAAGGACTAAATGTTGGTTTTTGCCGATTAAAAAAGCCAAATGAGATGAAAATGAAATGGAAGGAAATATCAATAAAATAATCTCATCACACTTTTCGAGAAAAAGCACGACCAGAAGAACCTAGCAATTAAAAACAATAATCCTGGAAAAGACTAAAATGGTAACCATAAAACAAGGTAACAACCATATACCTGGTAGTGTAAACAATCTTTAAGAAAAAAAAAAATTAGAGAACAATATAAGCAGATAAGCCAACCACAATCAAACAGAAAATAAATCTCGCAATCTTACATATAATAGTTTATAAAAGCAGAGTCTATGGATCGGAGCTAATCAGACTTATAGATAGCAGCTGAACTAGCCTTTGGAACAACATAATCTCCAACCGAGCAAGGCAAACCATGACTAAAACCAGCAGACGGTCCATGTACGGTTGTTTTTGCTTAAAGTACCATTTTGATCCCTCAACTTTTCATTTTAATATGAAAATTGTCCTTAAACTTCAAAATGTATAAAAAATATCCTTAAATTTTTATTTATTTTTTACCAATTTCATCCTTCCATTGACAAAAGTTACAGGTGGAACTAGACCTGGCAAATGGGCGGGTTGGGTCGGGTCAAAATGGGTAACGGGTCAAAACGGGTTGAGTTAAAACAGGTCACGGGTCAATGAAGGTAGACCCTAACCCGCTCATCACAGGTCATGGGTCAACCCGCGAGTTGACCCAATTAAATTTTTTTTCTTTTTTTTTCTATAATTTGTATTTATTATTATTCAAAGAAAATTATTCAAAAGATTTCAAAAACAAATTCAACATCTTATAAAAATAAT